AAAAAAAAAAGTTGGAGTCAAACCCGACTTAGTGGGTTCCAGTGGGCTTAGCGGTGGCTTCCAGCGCTCTGCCCCTAGAACCCACCCCCTATGGCGCCTGCTAGGCAGCTGAAGCCCCTGTGGCTAGGCTACCTCGCCGGCGTCGGCTCGAAATCTGACCAAGTCCGAACGGTGCGTGCGTGCCGGGAGATGAGTTTGGTGGTCGTGAGTCGATTTTTTCGATTCCCCATACAAATGAATTTTCCGGCACGGCCAAACTCGCACCGGAGCCCACCAGAGCGTGCTGGCGGGTGAGACGATGTCGGAGGGACTATGAGAGGGCACACGAAAACCGTGGGAAGTCGGGGCTTGCCCTGGCCCCCAGCGGTGGTGTGCCCTGTGGCTCTTAGGGGGGGCTGTCTGGCTTGCCGGGCACCTCGTTCCTAGGCGTAAACTTCCGCTGAAAACTTGTTCCTTTCTCTGCTCTGTTTCGGGCCCTAGGCCTGATTCATCCTTGTACAGCGCGTCCTGCGGCCACTGGTGGACCCTTCATCGGGATAGCCAGTGGTCCCCTTCGGGGTATAAAGTGGTTGATGCGGGCCCGGCCCTCCTTAAATGTGAGGTTGAAGGGTCTCTGGGGGGTCACTTATCCGGGGGTGGAACCTAGGAGCATACAGGGGTGTAAAGCTTCCTCGATCTGTGAGTCTCCTTCTCACACTAACCTAAAAAGGCAGATATACCTACGGAGGTATTTAAAAACACCGGATCTTTCAGAGGGTGGCTGAAACAGAACCTAATGCACTCGGACCTGGAGGCCCCTAAGGCCTATCCATCTCAAAAACAATTTCTGCTTAAGCGACGTATGGTGACAAATTCTGATAACAAAGTTTTGCGCCTGGACCCCAGACCCACACAGTTTTCAGAAAAGCTCTATTGCATTTTGCCAAGACTTTTGACCCACATCTGACCCACAGAGGGACCACTTGACAACTGAGGAACCGCACAGAACAAAGCAGAGAACCCCAAAGAGAAGAAACTTTGATCAATTGAGACAATGGCATCCGACGAGTCTAAAGCGAGGCGCAAGCAGAAGAAGAAGGACAGGGCGAAAGCGAAAGCCGAGCTGATGTCCAAGGTGACGAAGAAGAAGGCCAAGGCCAAGGAATCTTCAGAGCCGGAGCAAACGCTAGTCAAGAAGACCAAGGTGCTGAAGATCAAGGCGGGAGACGACAAGCCTGAGCCGAAGAAACCATCGACAAAGGCTATCACCTCCATACGCCTGCAGGCAAGCGACAGAAAGAAACTGTCAGAACAAGACCGGGCAATCTTCATTGCCTTACCGGAGGGATCCAAACTCACCAAAGCCCAGAAGGCCTTGGAAATTCGCCAACATGTTGCCAGCGGAAGAGCCATCAATGATATTCAGACTGTCATGGCGCCAGCCAATAGCTACGTCGTCCTAATCTACAAGACGACAAAAGCGAGGGACTCGGCACTGAAGTACTTGAAGAAGGAAACTTTCAGACTTGAGGACACTCCGACTGAGTTGCATATTGAAAAGTTTGGGGCGGATCACACGGGGGCATCGACGAATACAGCTTGGTTTATGAATCTGGGCTTTGATGAAGACGCGAAGGATCTCTATGACGCCATACTCAAGAGACTACTGTCGAAAGGCATGCCTGTCTCCCACATCCCGGCCTTTGAGATCCGACAAGTCCGATCGGTTGGGATACCAACCGATAAATTCATCATACTCTGGCAAGGGAAGGCGCCAGCATGGATCGGAAAACACCTCCTGGTCAATGACGTCAACCGCCTGGTGTCCCAAGAAGGCAAGCGTTCCTGCAAGCTATGCCTCGAAAAGGGACACACGGCGGCTGAGTGCAAATCGACCAGCACATCTGAAAGCCTTTCCCAGCCAAAAGTGACTTGGGAGCCAGACAACGAGGAGCGAGCACAGGAATTGGAGAACCTGCTTGTGCGAGAGAAATGGCACAAAGTCATCGACTCGGAGGGAATCGAAACCTGGAGGCACCCCAGTGCCCCAAGCCCTGGCGACGTGGAACTCATGGAACTCGACCCAGCGGAATCAGATGGCTCCGACGACACAGAGCTGAAGAGGCAACAAGTTGGGAAGCAAATCGACCGCCTGACCGGAAAGGGAAAAGTTGAATACGCAAAACTCCACAACAGGCTCGCCAAAGAGTACAACCCCGATTCTGGAAAACTTGAGGATACCCCGGCCAAGGATACCGACAAAGAGAGCGATGACGAAGAGAAAGCGCCCAAGACAAAGCGCAAAACGTCGCGCAGATCATCTCTTGCTGCATCAACCCAGGGAGACGACGTCGACAACCAGGATCCCAGCGAACCGCCAAAGAAGAAGAGCAAAAAGACTGGATGAATGAGAGCGACAGACACGACAAACAGCAAAGCGCTGGAAAGGCCGACCTAGATTGCAACCCTGGCCTTAGATAGTACCTTTTAGGAAGAGTCTTAATACAAAACTACATTCTCTTCTCTATCCCTCTGGGGACTTAAATTGTGACTTCAAATACATCTTCCATAATGAGGATACTGACCCACAATGTGCAAGGAGTAGGAGCCGTCACTGGCCAACCTAATACTCCGAAGCTCGGATCATTGATCCAGTCATACGAGGGACTGGGGGCTGATGTAATCTGTTTGACAGAGACACATTTGACTAGCGAAAAGTTTCAAACTACCGAGGGGTGGCCTAACCAGCACGGTTGGGCTACGACAAGTTACTCCACAAAGGAGCGCGGGGTTACTTTTTGCATCTTGAACACGGGGAAAATCAACCCAGACACTGTGAGAATACTGCAGAGTGATCCAGAGGGACGATACCTGGTGATTCAGGTGGTCTGTGAGGACCATTTTGTTACCATACTGGGGGTGTACGCGCCAAACGTGTACGCAGAAGCAGTTGGCTTCTTCCGAGAAATCGAGCATATCGTCTCAGAGTACAGGCCCGAGATCATACTGGGGGACTTCAACAAGGTCCTTGAACCTAAGGACCGGTCCCCTGCCATAAATGAGACAACAGGTCCCTGGAAGGCCTTGCACAAGGCCGTGACGAACAATGGTTACCTTGATGGATGGCGGCAGTGCAACCCAGAGGCAAGGAAATATACATATGAAGGAAGCCACCATATGACACCTGCCAGCAGGATTGACCGCATTTATGTTCCATCAAAATCTTTTACACAATGCTCGAGCTGGGAAATCCACTCCTACCTATCATACAGTGACCATAGGCCAGTCTCTATGGTGTACCACCCAGGTGGTACGGCTCAGGTAGCGAGACCAGACTGGAAGTTTCCTAATAGACTTCTGAAGTCTGAGGATACT